TTATTTTAAGGCAACACCTTAAACACTGTTGAGATGGTTGTTAAAGCTGGGTGGGTCATTATCCACAAGTCCTGCAACAACATGGGCTGAAAGGCCATTCAGTGAGGATGAAGTCATTACTCCATAAGCAACATAAAAAGCCAGAATACAATTAGTAAATGCACTCAGAGACAATGACCTTATTTTTCACGACATTGTCCATGGTCAGATGAAAGTGGAATGGAAGTACTGAGCCATAATGGCCACCATCACATTTAAAGGAATGAGTCATGAGCCTGAGAACAGCATCCCTACTATGAAGTAGAGAGGTGGCAGCATCATGCTGCAGGATGGGTTGGTGCACTTCCATTTGAAATTGACAATCACTCTGTTCATACCACTAACTTAGTTACAACATTCTTCTGTCTGGAAGTTGTTTGGATGTAGGTAAACTATTATAAGAAGCTTTAGGACGGATATCTGAGACAACTGATCCATTCTAACCACCACCTGATTGAGCCTAAGGTCAGGAAAAAGACAGCTGGCAAGCATGTTGTCAAAGCAAAGCTAAAGACCCACTAATTTTTCTTTATGTTTCCTTATATATGTATTTAACTGTTTAATTTTATATTTCTGTTTTATCCATTTCTAGTTTCTCTTTTTATGTATTATTTATCTGCATGTACAGCATTTCGATAAAAAGTGCTTTAACAATGTTAATGTTATTAAACTTAATCTCACAACTCTACCAAATACTACAGTAATAGATATAGACAATAAAGAAAAGAGAGTCAGAAAAAACTCCAATGTTCTAGTTTATTCTAGTTTAAACTGAAGGTGTTCCAAGCAATGAGACTGCCATCAAATAAGAAAAAAAAATGTATCAATTCTTCACCAAAACTTAAAAGCAAAATAAGTTAAAGAAAGTCTTGTTCTAAATAGTTGTTGATAAGTTAGGGTAGTAGAACAACATTAAACTTAATTAATTTAGCTTTATAGGCATTGATCGGTTATGAAGTATTACTGCACAATCAAAATAATATATTATGAAACGTTTATTATAAACATGTCCAAAACAGTATGTGTGGTCCTAAAACAAATATAACTATCAGTAATTTGAAGAAACAAGTATTGCATCAGAATTCTACCGAAAGTCCACATATGTAATAACTACTCATATGGGCAGTTTGTTTAAAACACACGCATGTAAACTATCATTCATGCCCCTTTTGAATTTTCTATGATTATAGATTTAATACTAAAAAAACCCAAATGTATAATAACCACAAGTTCATGCTCATTTTCTGCACTTGTAGTTCGCTTTTTATGCACCTATAGATTCTCTCACATTCGGAACATGCTCAATTCCAAACCGCTCACTAAACACTAACCCTCAACTATCAAGTGTCACTGGGAATAAAGTCACACTCACAGCTGTGGAAGGTGCCTGGATTGTATGTTGGGGGGTATATACGTCAATGGAATGGCCTCTTTGTTGGGATCCCGAGGCTTTGCCCACCAGAGGGCGCCGATGATCCTCTTCTGTTTTCTGTTAGGGACTGGGGTTACTGTTGGGATCTGGAGATTTACCATCTGTCTCCAGCAGAGAGCGCTGTGGGTCTCCTGGGCTGGAGTCTCCAGCACACCTGAAGCTCATCAGCCCATCAGTAGTCCTTCCTTCATAAGCAGCAGCCAGACCTTCCTTCAACGCCGCAGTGTTGACCAAGTTTGGTTAGCAAAACCTAAGCCTCTGTTAATTTATAGAATCC